ATATAACTTCACCCTGTGGGAATACTTTCATAGCAATTTTCTCACAGAGAATAGTTCGTGTGCCAAAGTACCAATGAGCAAGCTTCGGTCACCTCTTTGTTCTCCATATACTTTTAAATTTTTTACAAGTCTCTGAAGAGCACAAATGGAAAAAAATCTGCTCCGTGGTAACCTTACCCCACTTTCGGGCACCAACTGCGATTTAACCTTTTAAACTCCGATTTTTCTTATATATTAAGGTTTATCTCCTTGAAGCTATTTACCCTATTCTTAGATAGTACTATATAAAACTGATACCTGTGCCTCTTTTATTTGCAAAAAAAGTAAATAATAGAAAAGATGGTCGAATTCCACATCACCTTAGCTACGAAATTTTTGTGCATCAATATGTTTATCCCTTCAAAGTTCTTCAAAATTAAACTTCACTTATATAAAACCTATAATTTCAGCTCGGCGATCTATCTAATCCCGAACTGCGTATGCTCACCGACCAATTGGATCGCATACGCTTCGGTGGTGATGAAGCATTCGTCAAACGCTTGTCCATACGCGGTCTACTGCCGGAAACGGATCAATATATGACCTATGATGGATCAACAACAGCGCCCGCCTGTCATGAGACTGTCACATGGGTTGTGTTGAATAAACCCATTTACATAACAAAGCAACAGGTAAGTTCCAAGATACTCACTACAAAAAGTGTAATGTTAAACAGAAATTTATTTAACTAAATATAATTATTTTCGGTATGAACAAAACAAACTTACAAACGTTGATTTGACGTACAGTTTTTTTTTTAATGGATTAGAGGTCTTCGTGGCTGAGGCCCTCTCTGCAATCAATTCACTTTTTACTCTTGCACACTTTCGTATTGCTTGTGCGCTTGATGGAATTGTCGCTTACGGTAGTTCCGTCATGGATGTGACAAAGCAAATGTCAACATAAATGTTTAAAAAATTCTTTACCTCAGGAAATACTTTAATTCTGCGAATACCAGGCAATCTCAAAGGATTTACACAATCACAGTTGGTTGGTGATGAGGCGCGTGCCACGTATAGTAAGCCTGTGACTACAGAGCGTATGAGCAACCACGTTCTTATTAAATGTGTGTATGTATGTTTGCTGCGGTTTGAAGCAACATTAAAAGCAGCGCAACCTTTAACAGCTATGACTGAATCGCTTACTTACTGACTGACTAATGATGATGATGACGATAGCGATGACTTTGATGATTATTCGGATAACGTCGGGGAGGACAGTGTGTTAACAATTTGGTGAATAATATTGAAGGCGTTTATCTCGAATATAAAATTAAGTAAAATAAAATAAAATTAAAATTAAATTTAAAAAAATTTAAACAAAAAATTAAAGATTGAATTAAAAATAAAGTGAAAAGAAATGAAATGGAGTAAAAAATAAAAATGAAGTAAAAATTAAATTAAAAACATACATAAATGACAAAGTAAAATAAAGTCTAAAATAAAATTAAAAAATATACAAAATAGAATAAAATTAAATTAAATCAAATTGAATTAACTTAAATTAAATAAAAGTGACAAGTAAAAATAAAATAAAATATGAATTAAAAAATTATTTAGGAGATTAAAATAAAACGAGATAAAAAAATATTAAATAAAATAAGAACAAACAAACTAAAATTTAAACTACCAAATAAGAAAAAGGAAATTAAATTGAATGAAGTAAAATAAAATAAAAATAACAAGCTAATACTAAATTAAAAGTTAAATAAAGAACTTAAATGAAAAGATTTTATAAAATAAAAAAAAACCTATAAAGCAAAATAGAAAATAAAATAAAACAAACTAATCTTAAAATTTAAAAATTGTATAAAAAACAGAAATGAAAAGACTAGTAATAAATAAAAATTAACTTGAATATAAATAAAAATGTAATTAAGAAAATTTTAAAATAAAATTAACCCTCTACTGCATAAGAAGCCAAATACGGTGTAATTAGTTTGACAATTTTTTCCAATTAACGAATGTTATAAAAACGTATCAAACTATTTATTTGCATTGGGATGTTAACTAGTAACGTAACGTAACCGGTTTACCTGTGGTTAGACGATATTTGAATATAACCTCAGTTTTTTGTGTGTGCATGGTACTCAACTGTAAAAGAAAAACTAACGAAAAGGCGCAAGTTATTCTTGTAAAATAAAAATTATTTTCTTAACTCACACATCCACTTCTGTGTCAATCAATAATTATTTTACAGCTGTCCAACTCTTTTCTATTGTTTTCATAAAATTTTCCATATATTTATCACATAAAATTTAACGAAAATTACTTGAAGTTGTTTTTTCTTTCGATATAAGTTTAGTGACACGTACATAAGGAAGTTTATGAAGTCGAGATTTAAAACAGGAAATAAAAATTATCTTGAAGCGAAAATAAATTACATAAAAAAGGAGTAAAAAAATTTAAATTAATGAAAGGAATAGGAAAATTAAAAATGGGATAAAACACAGTAAAGAAAGAAAAAATATATATATATTAAAGCAAAAAAATAGTTATTAATTTTAGGTAAAAACATAAAATTTAATTTTTAGTATAACAAAAAATAAATCAAAAAAGGGAGTAAAAAAATTTAATAAATGAAAAGAATAGGAATATTAAAAATGGAATAAAACACAGTAAAGTAAGGGGGCAAAAAAAAAATATTAAAGCAAAAAAAATTATGAAGGAAAAAGAAATAAAAATTAGATTTAAGTAATAAAAATTAGAATACATAATTTAAAAATAAAATAGTATGAAAACCAAAAATTGGAAAACGAAATAATAAAAAAACTAATTTAAAAAAAAAATGATAATATATCTACATAAATAAAAGTAAAGAAATGAAAAAATAAAAATAAATGAAAAAATTTAACAAAGAGTAAAATTAAGTACATCGAAGTTAACAATAAAATAAAATATTAATTAAATTGCATGAATGACAATAATTAATTATATAAAAAAGTTGTTCGTTGGTACCATATACCTCGGTAAAGAATTGCACTAGTTATAGAAAGAAGCCTTATAATTACGTATGTATATAAGTACTCATTTTGCGCGCTGTAGATACAGATAAAACACTTACAAGCGATGCAAAATTAAAATTGTTGCGCCACACGGTGCACGAAGAACAACCTCGATGACTCCCAAACTGTCAACGGCAGAGTGACACTGATAGGCTGCTTGACACATTTTGGTCATGCCACAATTTTCCAGCCTTCTATTATTCAGCCACTGGAATTGTTGTTTTCTGAAAGAGCATGCTTTCGTACTTGTATACACAGGGGGGAGGACTCGTACAAACAAAATGGATCACATACATATTTATGTACATATGTATGAACATCTTCCTCGTTATGTGGCGCCCAGCTTGTCTCACAGCACGCACAATTTCAATTGTCTGTCTAGAAGGTTGGCGCCGCCGCCGGTGACTGTAGGGTAGGGTGCGATACGTCCTTGCTTCGCTTCCGCGCTCACATATTTTTACATTTTTGGCATTGTGAGCGCGAGTGTTATGCGTGTCATGCTACTTACTTATACTTATGTGTATCTTTATACACACTTATGTGTAGGTGTACTTGTTGCTGCCTACTTAAGTGCACTCGAGCAGCTAAGTAGGCTGCTTTACGTGTTTCATTCATTCCTTCTTCACCGTTATCTGCTTTACTTACATTTCTTTTTACAGGTGCGAGTATATTTGCTTTACCTTCTTGTTTGTTTCGCCTTGGCGGTACAGCAAAAAAAGTTTATTTGCTGAAGCAGACAATTCCTGACAAATTCATCATGTCATTTAATTAATTATGAATAATGTTTTTCACGGTCGTCACAATGTGAATTCTAATGTTTTTTAACATTGGCACGCAAATTTTAAATAAATAAATAAACAAATATATTAAGTTCTTAACTTAATGAAGTCACTAGAAGAGGTGGTAAGAGTATTGTTTAAGTAAACCAGGGTGTTTGTGGGGGGAAAGTGTACACACATACTCAGTCGACACTTTGAAAAGGTAGGGCTTTCAATAGGTCCTTTTCTCTGGAACTTTATTAGAAGATCACAAGTTCGTGGTTGTGGACTAAACAACTGTTCTGATTAGCTTTTTAATAGTTTTAGCGTTCCTGAAAAGGCAAAAAAAAGTTCTGCAAAATTACTACGAAAAAAACTTTTTTCAAAAAAAGCCGAGAACTTTAATGTTTGAAGAAATTAAAAAATAAAACTGTGCTCTTGTGGTGTAATTGATTGCTATATAATTTAGAACATGTAAATATTTGATAGCTGTTTTTTGGTAGTCCAGCAGCATTTAAATATTTAAGGGCTAGGCTAACACATAGTCGAATTTTTACTTATGGCTCCAAGGACAGGATATGGAGTCCTTCTCGAAGAAAGTGAGGAAAAGTTTAAATTTTCACTTTCGAAGTAGGCGCCGGTCTCCCAAGATGAGGTATTTGGAGCGCTTAATGCCTTGGATTGCGTGATACAAAAAAATGAGGAACTGAAAGTTTACGTGTCTAAACTAAGAGCTAAGCTAAGCTCAAAGCATTGGATAGAACTCTAGCTGCGACTACTGTCAAACCAGTGCGGCAATACAAACCTCTGTTAACCTGGTAATGAGAAATCTGATCATTAGGCAAGACAGGGCACACTTTCATTTGTGCCGTCGAAACCACCCTCAGAAACTCGGCAAATATTTCGCTCAACAAGGACTGGGAGTCGACGTAAAACTGTAGGAAGAGGAGAAACTCGGCCAAATACTAACATATGTATGTGTAAGCGGCAATCTATTATTACTATGTATGACTAGGAGATGTTAAGGGGCTGCAATTGGACAAAAATCACGTTCCCTCAATATCAGAGGGTCTGGCTGGTTATTGGCTATGTGAATGTTGACTGGTAACTTCTTGCAGCATAAACACCAACTTCATATGCCCTTCCTGCCTTGAATCGGATGAGATGGTTTTTAATTTCTGTCACGCCTTTTTAAGGGTTACAACTAAGTTCTTTGCTTTTAATATTAATTCATAAATTATGGAAAATTCCAGCAGACCAAGAATTATTTGAAAACAGTACATTGAACTGTATGTGTGTTTAGTTTTGCAAAAAATATGCATAATATATGTATGTATGTTTAAGTAAAAATATTCAAACTCCTTATATTCATTAAAGCTAATATTTGATTAAAAAAAAAAAATGGTGGAGCAAAAAGCATGAATTTATAATAAATAGCAAACTTGATTGTTTTATATTAGTTTGTGAGTATTTTTTTTTTAAAGAAAGTAAAATTTATTTTTTTCTTAATTTCATCTACACATACATATGTGTATATGTGTATATGTATGTAGTATAAAAAAACCCCTGAGGTTATGTGCTCTTTTTAGTACACCAAATTGGCATTAAAAATCCAGTTTCCCCAGAAAATAGGGGAAAATAATGTCAAAATAACCTGCTTGTAAAATCGAAAATGCTGCAACAGCACAAAAAATTTCAGCCCTGCTAACCGAAAGCAACTGCCAGTGGCGACCGCATGCCAACGGCAGTGGCCATATCGATTACCTGCACAATTATCGATTCAACAACAAGGCAGGAAAAATGAGAAGAAGTCAGCGGTAGATTCATTGACTAGCAGCCAGTGAGGGAGTGGATAGGAAGACTTTGCTCA